GGAGGGGGCGGGGCGTCGAGCGCAACGTGCGCCCTTAGGGAGGTGAGGCTGCGCCGGGTCTTTACCTCACCTTAAGGGTGTCCTCGTGTCTTTGGTTGAAACCTACGGCTTGACAAAGAGGAGCTGCAGCTGTCTGCATAGGTGCTGAGGAAGGGGGTGTCAGGACACCGGAGTGTCCGGGTTTTGCTAGCGGTCAAGAATGTTTGGAGACGCCCTCCGTCCTCCTGGTTCAAGCCATAGAAATCCAGTCAGCCTATTTTCTGAACCTGCTAGCAGGCCTCTCTCTACTGTAAAACTTAAAAACCTCTCCTGTTTATTTACCACAGAAAGGCTATTTTCCCCCTTTGAGAGGCTTGGAAGTGTCACCTGATTTTATCTCTGAAAACTCGAGTTGTCGATGCCAGCCTAAATTTAGATACTAACCAGCCAGTATTCATTCTCTAGAGTGTCAAATAGGACAGGAAACACGTAGCTTCAGTGGAATTTTGAAAAGGGAAGTAGTAGGATGATGTCAGCACAATTAGTTTGACCCTACAAGGCTGGCTACTGTGGTGATTAAAGGTCCAGACCATAGAAGGAAGTGAGAGGGGTGGTAAATAGAGAAATCTCATTCAAAGATTTAGACATCAGTACCTGCCACCTCCCCTGGTTTAGCCTTTCTTCACTCCAGCCTCTTTTCTCTCACTGGGCAAGCCAGATTTCCATGGAAAGATATTGGCGCTGCCCTGTGGCATTTTAGAGAACTATATCCTGAGAATGTGTTCTGTGAGAACCAGAGGATCTATTACAAAAGCCTTTTAAAATGTTAGTAGTATCCTACATTTAACCCAGAATTAGGCATAAATTTAAAATTCTCTGAATGTTACCATCATAATCAAATGTAATCTTGCTAGCTTCAAGTGAAATGCTAACATACTCAGAGAATCTGTGTACACCATCTGCCAACAAAATTCAAAATACTGTGCTTCAATCTGGTGAATTTCAAAAGATGAAAGCTATTAGGTATTTATGATTTTACCTGACATATCAGGAATTTGATGGTCTCCTATTGCCTTTCACACACACACACACACACCTCTTTTTCACTATGGATGGTGAAATTCTGCAGCACCATGTTTTTGCCAAGAAATAACAGTTCTTAAACCAGCAGGCTTCATTTTTGTCAAACCAGCCTCAAATTTCACAAATCTGTAATGACTTCCTTTAGTGCATCTGAAATCCTTCTTTGGTTTGGTGTCTAGTTTGTTAACCCATGGAATCATCCCAGCCTCAAGACATCAATCATCATTGCTACTCTTTGGCTTTTACTCTTCACCAGTAAGGTTGGCCTACACTGATAAAACTCAATCTGAGGTCAACCCTAGGAGAGTCTAGTAATCAGTAACCAAATATTTTATACCCAAGGAAAATGTAAAGGTTATTCCAAAGCATATAACAGGAAGCACACTTTGGCAATACTATGGAAGCTATTCTATGTTTCAAAGAACTTCTTTCATTTCATATCATCTTTATGCAAATAATTGTGAACATATTTACCTTATTAACAAACTAGCTTCTGTTAGAAATATCACTGTACTTTTTTCAAGTATACATTTGAGAAATGTCTAACACAAACATTTAGCAATCATTGTAGAGATTTATGTATAGTTATGAAACTGAAAACTGGAGAAATTTAGGTGGAAAATTATTCTAAAGATAGGCGTTACTAATCTACCTTATTTTATTTGCTTAAGTGTCTTCTCTGTTCTAGTATCCTTGGACTATTAAAAAAAAATCTATACTTGAAATCTCACAGATTTCCAAAATTCACTGTAGCCAAAATGTCTTTTGTCCTTGCCTACCATCACACATCCTTAGTCCATATGGATCCTCTCTTTTGTTTCTTGTTTCTATTAAAGGCCTTACTACCTGCAGAAATGCCCAAGTCAAAAATAAAAACAACAACAACAACAACAACAAAAACTGTGATTAATTCTGAGCAATTCTTCTCATTTACCTCATCTAGCTCAATGTACTAAAATCTGGAAAAGCCCTCCTCTTTTAACACCACTTTTATGCCTTATTTTCAGTCTTTATGATTTTTTTTTTTGTACTGGGGATTGAACTCAGGTCCTTGCGCTTGCAAGGCAGGCCACCAAACTGCTGAGCTAAATCCCTGGCCCTTTATGATTTTTTTTTAATACCTAAACTATTCTAGTAATTTCTTATCTGGTTTCTGTCTCTCATACCTCAATCCTGTAATCCAGATCTTTCTAAATCTAAAATAGGATTATCATTTCTTTGCACTAAAATCTTCCAAATGCTCTATATGTCTTACGTGTGTGCCAAGATATGACTCCCCCTAGCCCCTGTTAATATGTTGGAGACTTAATCCCTGGTATAACTGTTGGTCAGTGGACCCTCGTAGGAGAGTTTTGGGTCATAAAGACTCCTCCTTTATAAATGGATCAATGCTGATTATAAAAAGACTTGAGGCTTCAAATTCACACCTGCTTTTAACAGTCGGCCCTAGAATAACACGGCAAGAAGTTCCTTCCTGGATACCAGGTGTTTGATGTTGGACTTTCCAACCTCCAAAACCGAGCCAATAAATTTATATTTATTATAAATTATTCAGTCTGTGGTGGCCTACAATACTAGCAGACTAAGACAAGCACCGCTGTCATCATGCTAGGGGATAAAATTCAGGACTCTCAGCCTGGGATATAGGGTTCTTGAGGTTCACCTCTTTTAATTCCCTACATGCACTCCATCCAGTGTCCTACTTATTATACCTGGAACTACCATGCTGTTTCACACCCCATTATGCAGGCAGTGATCTTTTGCTATTCTTACAATACCTTTACATCTTTCTGTGATTGATTTATTTTACTACCATGAGAGAAAACCCTAAGCAAAGTAGCAGTTATCCCCAAGTTAATATTGTGACTGATGCATAGTAGACACACATAATGTTATAATGAATGAATGAAAACACTTAAATGACTCATTTGGATACCCATCACTCGAAATCTTTCATTTCATAAAATTTGCCTGCTTTTTCACAAATATGAAAGACCACCCCATAATTACCTGTCTGGAATCACAAAATCAGTACTTTGTTAATTTCCTCTTTCAACAAATATGAACACCTACTCAGTAACAGGCACCTTTTTAGGTGCTGAATGCTTTTCTAACAGTCAATCCATGAGTCCTTTGGGAAACAATCAATTCTCTACTTTGATAGTGAAGGCATCTTTGCTTTTACTTTACAAATGAACAGTCCAAAAGCAGAAGTAAACAATGTGAATAACACATGTTATTTCCTACTCTCTCCCAACTAAAGTTACATGTAGTTATATAGAGAAGCATAGGGTCTGTGGGAAGGGGCAAGTTTTTCAATGTCTCCTACATGCGAAGAATATAACATCATTTTAAAAATTTCATTCTCATTATAATAACTCCACCAATTATCATGCCTATCTAATACAGGGAAACAAAGAAGCCTTAGAAGAACTTCCCAAATCCCACAGATTGTAAGTGGCAGAAGCAAAAGTTAAGAGCTTATTCTCTTTCTGTTACTTTATTTGGATCCTTTAGCCAATTCTTGAAGCAATTGCTAAAATAGATTAAATCCATTCAACAATTAGTTCTTGCCTTTATACAATGTGCTAGGCTTTGCAAGATGTTAAGACGTAATAGTGTACAAGACAAACATAGTCTCTGCTCTTAGACATTTAAAAATCTTTAGCAACAGAGAAGAAAATGAGTGGGAAGAAAAAGGTGTGCTGCACCTCAGGAACCCTGGTGTCTGACTTAAAGGTAGGAAAGTGGGAGAGAAAAAAATGAGCAGAAAATGGACCAGAATTTATACACTTATTATCACACTTAAGCCCATTTTCAAATCCAGTCTATTAGTTCTTAGACATTCAGCTTATCTAGATTTTTGAGTCTTCTAAGGTTCTGCTAACTAAGCTTATATGAACACCTAGCAAACTCTTCCTCAAACGCCTATGTTTACCCTTCCTGATTGGCCAAATCAATAAAAGGTTACCTTATCTAGCACTAGGGAGACTGAGGCAGGACGATGGCCATGAGTGTGAGGCCAGCCTTGGCTACATAGTGAGTTCAGGGCCAGCCTGACTACAAGGGAGACCTGGCCTCAACCTCCTCTCCAAAAAAAAAAAAGTTACCTTGTATCACCATACAAAAGAGTAAGGACTTTTCTTTGCAGCACTACTCCATTTCCAACTGTGGGAAACAACACTCTCAGCATAATACCAACATGTTATTAATGTTGATTTGTTGTTATTATTTGTTGATTACTTATTGTGTATGGAGCACATTACATGCGTTATGTCTTCCCCCAGCAC